CAGTAGAGCAATGCATATATGGCTACCGCCGGGGCGGACCATCACAATATGCTTCAGATGGGTGAAAGATCACGATGGAATATTCGGCAATGAAAAAAGTGCGGATTGCTATGCGAAGATAGCAGCCGCACTTCCAACAGGACTTCAGGGACTGCTACTTCCAGGAGAGGACTTGGAACTTCCTGTAACCTATATAAAAAATGTTGCTGCAGCATATTCCAAGCAGCAGGTGAGATGGAAGAATCGGCTCCCTATCGGTGGTCTGCTATGGACTAACATCAGGGCCGGAACAGTTTTAGAAGATTGCGAAGACGGTATTGAGGTGGAGTGTGAAGGATAGGAGGATAATAACATACTCATTAACTGGCCATCAGCCTACAAGAGTCTACATTAGTAGAATTAGCGGTTCTAACCTCACACACAGTGTGTGACACACTGCAGATACTGTTTTCCTTAGCGGGAGACTATGGCGCACTTCTTCGAGTGCCAGGAACCCTATGTGGTACAGATACGCAGGAGGATCCTAGGTCCGATCTACGCTCGCCAGCATGCTGGGATGAAAGGCGGCTCGGGCTATCGTACAGCCATTCGGTCCATAGCAGCACTCCGCTACCCGACCGTTCGCCTCCACAGGCCACCCCGAGGGAGGCTCCCACGGAGTGGCCGGTGGAGGCTCCATCAGGGAGCTGAGGACCGATGAGAATGTGACCCACGCCGATCGCCGTAGGAGAAGAGTCTACTCAGAAGACCGGATATTGGCAGACACCACAGTAATATCACAACCTAGCCTCCATGGCAAGGATCATATACGGGTGTATTAGATGAACTCCGAATAGGCTGATGGGCAATGTTCTACGTTATGACTTGAAGTGGCTGGTTGCCTCTCACGTTGAAGGTATAGTAGATGAAGTGATTCAGAGTGTTTACGACGAGCTCGATTTGGCTCTAGATGTCACTAGAGGGAGATACTTGACTAACCTAGGAGATGCACCCAAAGAGGGGAGACATATCGATATCCTTGGGTATCCTTCAGAGTACTGCTTAATGTACTGGAGAATGAATAATATGTTATGAGGCCCAACAACGGGTCCGACATAGTGTGACCGTCACACTGTGACGAAGAAGACGGCACTCCGATTGATTGTGCCCTTAGATGTCCCAAGAACACTTGGCCTTCATGGATTAATCCACAAGGCATCCTTGGTCAATTCAGTGTTTTTATTTACAATTTCTACTCACTTACTTATGCCTACACAACCTGCTGCAGTAATTAGTCAAATTCTATGAACAATTGTACTGGAGTTCACACAAAGATGGTTCATCGCTGTAGACTATAGTAATACAAAGTTGCCAAAAATGAGCACTTTCTTGTCGGGGATCGCACGAGAGAGAGGCCAGCGCTGTTCTTGAAAATCTGATAAAAGAAATCTCAGCTACAACAGAGTCTAAGAAAAGGAAGATCCTAGCATCTGCAGACCTTCTGGAGACTCTGACCAGGTGCAAGAGAACGGCTCTTGGACGAAACTGACTGAGACTGAGCTCAACAACCTTAGGGAAATCGTTAGACCTATCCTGGATAAGGTGAGAGTGCTGAAGAGTGTTCAGTGAACACCTTTCCAACTTAGGGAGGGCTTGGAATCTTGATTGTGGACGATGTGGAGAGCAGCAAAGTCCGTAATATTATAAGCCACCAAGCCAAGGGCACCCTTGTGA